CTTCCATCCGCGAATAATGAAAACGCGAATGAAGGAAGCGAGAATAAGGACCTTTTACTGGATACAAAAATATTTATCGCTTTAATTAAATCTAATTACTCGAATGTCTCAGGGGGTAATGTTTTTGTTTTTTTTACTCAAGTGTCAGGGGAGGGAATTGTTATAGGCGCGTATCTAAGTGTTATACGACTGTCAGGGGAGGGAATTGTTATAGGCGCGTATCTAAGTGTTATACGACTGTCAGGGGAGGGAATTGTTATGGGCGCGTATCTATGTGTTATACGACTGTCAGGGGAGGGAATTGTTATAGGCGCGTATCTAAGTGTTATACGAGTGTCAGGGGAGGGAATTGTTATAGGCGCGTATCTAAGTGTTATACGACTGTCAGGGGAGGGAATTGTTATAGGCGCGTATCTAAGTGTTATACGACTGTCAGGGGAGGGAATTGTTATGGGCGCGTAACTACATATGTTTGTCCAGCTTATGTAAAAAGGTGTCTATGTATGTGGCTTTGAATTTATATTAGGTGTATGAATTACATTGTGACCGTCTGTAAGCGAAACGCCTGAAACGATGTTGACGAGCGGATATCATTCAATACTTGTCAATTTGAATTGCATACATAATCGATACAGATCGATCGGAACGGAAACTTTTCAGTTTTCGATTGTTATTCTCATAACTTAGAATTTTACCTTGGAATATACGATAGAACCGTGGCTGGCTGTATGCCGGTATGGTCGTTTATTTAAATTATAGTACGAATTAAGACTCTTATGTTAGGCTCCATAGGATTAAGAGGCGAGAGGCGAGAGGCGAGAGGGGACACACGAGACTTGTGATCATCAACGTACATTAAGTGACATACAGTATGTGGTTTTCATGTATACATGCATTTATTTAAACGTTTCTACTAGTTATAACGTAAACAGAAAAAGTACTAGTTAAAACGTCAATAATTTTGGTGTCGCTTAAAGGCGGCCATGTTGGTGGGGCATCGTTGTGACGTCACAGTCGCAATGCCTCCGTGATATTCTATATAAATGTCATTATTTTCAGTAGAAATCATTGGCAATTAATGATTATTTATAACTTATAAGGTAGTTTCAGTATCGTAAACTCACAAATAAACACAAGTTTTAACAGTGGTAGTGTCCGCTTTAACATCTTCTACGTCATTTAGTCAGTCAGCCAGTTTAGCTGAACATCCATCATTACATATAACTAATAACTTTCTCTTTACTCTTTTGTAGTTAGCGCACATTTACATTTTTAATGGTCTTTATTAACGTAAAGGATTAAAGTAAGAAGTCAGTCCTTGCCTTCATCCTTTCATCAATGTTGCACTTGACTCGTTTCTTTTCCAAAAAGTCTAACAAACGGTTGCTACAACCACTACTCCACATTAATGTATGTACATTAATTAGTACTTATCCATGTTGTATCTGGACGGTCACACTGCTTAATATTAGTGTTGCGCAGCTTGTTGTAAAACAAGTATGCGTATATGTAGACGGTTTACTTGTTGATATGACGTCACTGTAAATGTCAGACTAAGGCGGCACATCCCGGTACATTCGACATTATACGACGCTATACAATTAGGTATTAGGTGGGTGTGCATGCGGCCTCTACCATAGTTCTAGATAGATGTTCTACAGACGTGGAACTCGCTGTTTTTCTCTACATTTATCTGAGAAATGTTTCAAAAGGTATAAAGTAAAATATACAATATTATTCAAGGATAGATGGCAAGAAAAAACAAGGAGCATGTCTGAGTAGATGCAAATACCGGCCCGGGTCTGATATATTCCAAACTCCACGTAAGCTTTGCTAAATGTGAATAAATTGTCTACATTTGGCTCGTTTGTCTTTTCATTTTACAGATAAACACTTATTATTCAGGGTTTTCAATGACAATGGAAAACTTTTTGTTACTATATAAAGCAGAATAGTTCTTTATAAGAAGTAGATGACGTGGATTTGGTTTGCACTGCTGGAAACGTTCTTGAAGAAAAACCGGAGCTGGTGTTGTCAGCAGTTACTGTTGTGACCATTCATTCTATTCACTTACTTCATTCGCAGGCGCAAAACACACCTCGAGCGGCGATGAAACTCCACCCTTCCCTCAAGAAGACTTAGAAAAACAAATCTTTAAACATGAGGAGAGGCTCCAAAAAGTAAATATTCATTTTTTAACTTGTGTTGTATGTATAATAAGAATATTATAATATTTGCGAAATGAGCAGTGTAAATATCATATTAATGTAGCTAGGATATATAGAAAAAATTGTTGCCCAAACTTTTTATATTGAACAACAATTAATTGTAAAACTAGATAAGAAATAGAATGAAAACACTCCTGTGATACAAATTATTATTCGGGCAATTTAATTTCAATTATATTGAACGATGACGATTCCCCCTCCTGGTCGCCACTGAGCCGCCTCTAAACCGCCTCTGCTCCGGCAGCTGACTGCCGGTTGACATCTAGTGCCTTCAAATTGAACAAACATTGTTCTAATATACATACGAGTATAAAGTAAAGGTATCACTTTTTGCATAGAAATAATTTAAAGAGCCTCTAGTCCTTTTTAGTTCAATATTTCTAACTCTAACGTAATTTTCTGGACAGGAAAAAAATAGTCAAGCTAGAGAAGACGAAGAGGTGCGGCAGCTAGACAAAAGTCTGTTGTACCAGCGCGCTATCGGGGCCGAGGAAGAGCACAAACAAAAGGTACGCGTCACTGAAACTTCGTCGGTCGGTCTGCTTCGCTCGGCCAGCAGGCGTTCGTAAATACATACATGATCACATCAAAGTGTCGCTCCTACCTGAGACCTATTTAAGAATATCCTTTTGTATTTGCGACCTAAGTCTTACTGGTATTATAAATCACTTTCGCATTTTCGATGAATGGATGTTCTATAGAACGGCTGCATGAATCTCGCTGAATTTTTTAGAACATAGCGTGGAAGAAAACATCTTTCTGAAATGCGTAAATGTGTTCAACTTTGCTTTTTGTTACAGATAAAGTTATCCAAAGCGCGCTCTCTGCACGAAGCGGACCTCGATTCGCAGAATCACATAAGCCTTAGCAAAAGTAAGTTGTTTTGTTTTTACTGTCATTAGATCATTAATACTTTTACTGATTCTTAGCTCATATTTATATATTATTTATATCTAAAACCTGTTTAAAAATATAATTATTGGTACTTCCACCGTACTACTACTAATAGTTAATTAAGCCGTCACGTACATAAGCGTACGTGAACGTAAACACCGTCAGGGATAAAAGTAGTTATAAAGGTAGCTGCTAACTTTGCAGATAATTCAATGGAAACTTACGACGCCACCACCGAGGATTCCAGCTTCGAAAACGACGATAAAACAAATATACCATCCACTAAACGCTTTTTACGCAAGAATTTCCACTCATATTCAACTAAGTAAGTATAACTTCTTAGAATATTCTCAACCATCCTTTGAAACTGCGCAGTTTTAACTGAACCCTCGAACTGTTTCGTTGACGTAGCGAATAGCGAATATTTGCGACAAGCGTTATCAACAATTATGTCAAAATTAGTAGCTACAAGATTTTTGGCGTAGTATATTACTAAATGTTGTCGTTTACGATATGATTATTTTCATGTTTCGATGTGATATAATGCACGAGCACGAGATAAACGTGTGTGTGTTGTTGTGTGCGCGTGTAGTACAGCGCCGCTGCATCCCCGACTGTAAGAAGCGGCATTACGGGCGGTCGGCCATTTTGTCCTTTGTTCAAAATGTTTATTTCATGCACATTTTGTTTTTTACATTTAGTTTTCATTGATCGTTTCTTATTTATGAAAAAACCCTTTTGGCTGCTCTTTCAAATGAACCGTAAATATATATTTTTATAATGATTATTTGTTATTGTCTCCAGCAGGCTGGTACTCGTATGTACCTCATCTCATGTATTACACAAAGAATCGTATAAATACTATTAAAAATAAAATGTACACAACGAAGATTTTTTTATTCATTGTTGTTACTTGTTAGCTTAATTTTTATAGACCACAATCAAATCAATATATATATATATGTGTAAATAAATAAAGGTAGATTTAGAAAATACTGCTTTTGACTTGAATCGTTTGTGAATTCAACATTTTACAAGAGAATAAATGACGTGTAAAGCAAATATTCTGTTTACGAGAAAAACTGCGACTGATATATATTTTTCAGCGATTTAGCGGATGCAGAATTATTATATTTGTTTCCACACTGACAGCTAACTGATAGCTGATGCGTGTGTCAAATAGTTGTAGCGTGTAGAAATGTTGTTTATCAAGTCTGTTTTTGAAAAAGTTTATTGATGGTTTCATCACTACATCACTTGGTGTACTAACATACATGTTGCTATAAACATATGTATGTTTAAAGGTGGCCATATCGTAATAATCAGTGAGGTTTTTATATGTTTCAGTGTATGTATAATACATGCCCCTTTGTCTGCGGTGTTCTAGGGCGGGAAGGCCAAGTATTTTGAGTCGCTGTCCAAACGTTATGTTACACTTTGCATACACCATCTTGGAAGCAGTACCGTTTTCTGTACATTTCCAATGAGCTTTATCTGTTAGCTGTGAGACTCTTGAGATTGAAATCAACAAGATTAATTTATGAGCATAGAAAGTATATGTTATATTTAATATAATTGAGATATCGGCGGCGGCAACCAGTCGCCGGGGCTAGGGGTGGCTGGTTGCCTCACACCCTACCCAATGGGGAGAATGAGGTAGAATTGAGTCTAAGCCAACCTAGATATAGATGGGCGGCGGAGGGTGCGTTGCCTACCCAGGGCAGGTAGAGACGTAGTTGCGCAATCTGCGCGGCTGCTGTATCGACCGGTGAGACCGGCGAGACCGGCGAGACAGGCGCGGTCGGCGCGACCCGGGGAGCGGTCCGCGGCCCACGCCCGTACTGTATACATATAAATATTATATTACAACATATTTCAATAAATTATACTCCTCTTGCGAACTAAATGAAATATGAAATCTTATTATTATAAGGCACTTACCTATTTTTTATTAGAGATGTATTTGAGCTTTCCTAGGGAAAGCAATACGCATTTCCTTAACGGTGGAACTGGATGGGCTGACGGGGTTAGGGCAAACATAAACCAATTACCAGATGAGACACAAAAATATTATACCCGAGAATATAAATGGTGGTGGTGATGGCGGCAAAAGTACAAGAGACAATATTTAACTATCAAGGATTGACAATGTCGTGTCACTAACGAGAAAATGGAAATGTTCTCCATCGTTCGCCAGGCATGAGGGTATCATCCATGATCAGCTATGGCGCATTATTTACAAAGTATGCTTATGTATGTATGTATGTATGCACAGTACCAGTGGAATTGTACCGAGAAGTTGTTGTAGTTGCAATGTTGATATGTGGCGATTGTCACATAACTTGATGATCCCAATAAAATCAGAATATCTAATATTTTACAATATATCTCTCAGCTCTGTCTGTCTGTCTGTGTGTGTGTGTGTGTGTGTGTGTGTGTGTGTGTGTGTGTGTGTGTGTGTGTGTGTGTGTGTGTGTGTGTATGTGTGTGTGTGTGATTGTATAAATCCGCTGTTTACAATATTGTTGATTTGGCAAAAAGAAGAATTTAGTTCTGTTTCTCACCACACTCATCGCTGATAATCAAAACTAACGCAAAACAATTCCTAAGATTACCATAAAAGCTGGTTCTACAATAAAATTGTATCGAGTATTATTGGTCAAAAATATAAGATAATAAGCAAAGATGAGCATTTTGTTCAGAAAGTGTTAACTACCGTAAAGTTCATCTTCTATTACTTTAGTCCGTTAATTGTTACATTAGACACTTGTTGACTTGCTGTCATTTTGTTTATATTATGCGTCACAGCACGCTTGTTAATACGACTATGTTTGGCAACTGTCGGTGAGTCGAATGGTGAACGAACGAGTTGATATTTGATGTATGCGAAGTGCGAGTCTATATGCGCGAGCGATTATGGTGCACATTATACGAGTATAGAACTTATGGGAAAGATGTGAACAATGAAATATCACAGATTCCTTGATCAAATATAATGAAGACACATTCATCCAATGTTGCGTAGTTTAGCCGCTAGAGGCCTAAAAACTTTATTTAGTGGTTCACAAAATATCTCGAAGTCTTTTTAACATTGTAACTGATTTTCATTAGTTCAACTGGTATTTTTGTAATACGTAAGATGCAAATGGCATGCCATTAACTCAGCCAGACACCGGATACAATTGCACAACCAATCTATAATATCTAAAATACAACTAAACTTGTGCCTGTTGGCGACAAAATAGTTTATGATTTATTTGTAAGAGAGGCCAAAAAAAAGAATCTAATTAATTTTTAAATACGAAAAATGTGCATTCATAAACATTCCTCAACAACAATAGAACTCGATTAATGTGGTTAAAAACAGTTTAAGATAAATTATTATATTTACATTTTTCAAAATATGAAAAAACTGCTAACTGGGTGGGTAGTCGCACCCAGAACCACCACCCAGAACGCACTAACAAATTGATACATTTATGGGCCAAACCCTTCTTTTAGTGCAGGGGACGCGCGCGCTATCTATAGAGTTTCTTGCTTACTATACTAACAGAACCAACGAACAACATAAATAGCGTTGAGAAATAATATTTATATGAATGTTTTAGTGAAATCTGTACAGTAGCGCATTTAAAAATTTGCTGCCAGTAGGCTATTCAAATTTTGCCGCCCTTTTTGACCTCTGCATTTCGATACATCAACCCAACACGGACAAAAGAAGGTAAAAAATATACAAAAATGTTAAGGAAACGAGAAAAACGAGTTCAAAAGAAAGATTCTATTCTAAACACTTTAAAGTAAGAAGACAATGTCATGAATGTCAAAACAAAACAAAACAAAACCCTCGACAGTAAGAAAGTTTTCTTTCTTGTATTATAATATTATTTTATCGCTATACATATATATATAGTGCTGCCACTGCGAGAGCAAAGTTTAATGTAGGGGAGATGTCTGCCGCGAGGTCGTTCATAGCAAACGATTTTTTGATTTGTCATGGTAATTGAGGCGAGCAAAGAGAGCACTGCTCTATACCACACAATGTTTGGTACATTCTACACCACTTCTGTTTACTTTTATTTATTATACTTAGACACTATAGCTAGAACCCCGTCCGTTACATCACAACAAAACTCAAAACAATAATTGTTAATAATTTGTCTGTCCGTCTGTGTGTTTGTAATATATTATTATACATTTATATACTGTAATAAGCTTCGCTTAGCATTTACTGTCTTGAAGTATTTCAATCAGTACAAGGGTATAATAATTGTATATAATATTGCAAGAAAGATGACTTACCATCGAGGGTAAAAGTAATAAAATACCTAAGATAAAGGACTTCTTTGTTCAATTGATTTTATAACAAGATCGATGCTCGATAGTTCGTAATGCGCTTACATTCCGACACTATGTACACCGTCACTTGTTACATTGATTGATCTAGTATAATAGTCACACTACATAGCATTTACACTGATTAAGGTAATTGGTAAAATAATATTTAAATTTTATTTCTTTATGTAAAAGAAAAAGAATTGGGGAAAATTCGCCGCCTCCTAAAAATCTGCCACCCTAGTCTCTAGCCTACTCAGCCTATCGGTAAATCCGCCACACAATCTATTATATATATATATATATATAGATATGAAAGAAACCATCATAAGTGTCAAATTGTAAATTCAATGTACGTCGTTATTGTAATTGCCGCCATTCCGTATTTGTAATTGTAATGTCACAAAGAAGATATTAAATAATAATAATAATAATAGTGTATTTAATATTTCTTTTAACTTTAAACGTTTAACTTAAATATGCGTTCATTTTTCGAGATTTTTTTTGACCGCTTTAACGAGTAACGAAGTTAATTTTTTAATTAACGAACCAGTGCCAGTGCCAATGCCGCCCGTGTTAAAATTGTGGTGGCATTTAACTTATTAAAGGCAACCCTAAAAATGGTTAGCAAAATGTATTAAGCAAAAGGTAGGTTTCGAACATTATAAATGAATAGAAAACAAATAAAATAGAAGGATAGGTTAGGTTTAGAAAATGTCAAATAATATGAAAATCGTTTTTCAACTAAAAAGGCAAGATGTGTCTTTTGTGTTGTGAATTATGTTGCAAGAAAATCTGCAAAAATGTTGTGAGAAAGTGTTAGTCTCATTATCCCCATGACGATACAACCAACGTCAACGTTGAAAGATGTGTCTATTTGCCTTAGACATTTTATAAAACACCGGCTTTATGTAAAATGCCGGCCCTGATTGTAAAGGTCGGATTTATACAATTGGCCTTCGACGTATATATGTCCATGAGCAGACTAAGCAATATATCACATATTTACGTAGTAATACGTATACTATGGAAAGAAATGTCGACCACCGAGTTTGTGGTTGAAATGCGCGCAACAAGTAGGACTCGTGGAAATGGCAAAGTGCGGTGTAGCATGAACGTGCAGCCCTTCGGGACGTCGTGTCTCCCACCGGCGTGTCGATGAGGACTTAGCAAGTTTACAGCATGAGCCGACTGTTGTTTGCTTATAACTTACAAGCTACTACTAAATTGAAATACTTATAACGTCACGTAATCACGTCACACACTATTAAAATAATGTGTCAACTCATTAGCTAGTCCCAAAATTGATAAATACATATTGCCGTACCGTGTAGTCATAACTTGAGAATAAATAATATGTTCTGAAATCATAAAATCTTTAAGAGATACATCTATTGCGTATAAAAGTAAGCTGTGTACATGATGCCCTTTAGTCTGTGACCTCGCAGCCTCCCACGCTGCAACATTGATTTTTCAGAGTCGTGGTATGGGTTGGGATGGCCCACCCCTCTTAGGCGACCGCCTGTGCGATTGCTTGGGGGATTGGTATGGAGGCGAGCGATGACGCACTTGCTGCGAAGGACACAAAACCTGAAATCAATAACGTTGTGGGATGAACACAAAGCATCTAGGGCTGAATCCTAAAATAGTTTCATTTGGGGTGGCTCAGTGGGTTTGGTAGCGTGGGCGGCGGGCGGCGGGCGTCGGGCGGTGGGCGGCGGGCGGCGGGTGGCGGGTGTTAGGCGGCGGGCGCCTGGCGACAGGCGGCAGTGGGTGGAGTGGGTTATATGAAGGGTAGCAGAGCCGACGCCTAGGATGGCCCGGGCCGACGGTGCGCGCGCAATTCCTTTGTTCGCTTGGCTATGAGGTCCCCGGCGGCGGCCGCCTCGGCGCAGTCAGGGTCCGCCAGTGCTCCGCTCCGGACCAATGTTGAGTACGTAGACGCCTGCCTCGACCTCGGTGAGTCTTTGGCCGCGAAATAAACGTTAAATTATACCTTCTACCTAATCTATCGCGTTAGAATTCAGTGCTTAGATGTTTTCTGTTTCCTGGTGTGAATCACAGAGTCCTTGCTGACTAGATGTTAGCGTTAGGGCATGCATGCTTATCTGTGTATACCTACTGTCCTTAAGTGTTTCAAAACTGAACCTGCTATTATCCTTTCCATGGGGTTGGTGCGCGTGCGGAGACGTGTGATCGTTTCGCTGCATACGAGATGTGCGTAGAGAGATAAGGTGCCGTTACTAAGCGTAGGAGCAGAATGAGGCGGAACGAGACGCAAGGCAAAGAGGGCAGCCGAGAGGGCGTCAGCGTGCTCATGTCTCGCAGCGAGTCCTCGATGGGGCGGTGCACGCCGCACACGCCGCACACTCCGCACACGCCGCGGACGCCGCTGGGCCTACCGGACACCGTCAGCGTTGACTCCAATCCAATGCCCACAATATATCGGTAACTGACCCATACGGATGGTCGTCTTGGGAGAAGACGTAATATCGATCGGGGCGCAACGCACCTCTAGTGCGAATGCGGATTCATACATGTATTGAGGCTTCAACAGAAGTGCGCTGCGTCCTTTTTTCGAGACAAGAGCCGAGTGAATGGCCGCGGTAGTGATGCTGCAGAGGAGTTTAAGTTGACAGCTCCGGTTCTTCGTAAGTATGTCTTCTCCCGAGGACGAGTACAGCTGAGCACTTCGCTGCATCGCGCACCGTGATCGTCGCATGCGAGTAGCAACCACGGCCTCGTTTCTCGACGCATTGTCAAGTTTCATCGACGTATGTACAGGATGCTACATGGTTCTTTGTTATTTCGCGACAGCTTGAGATATGAGTATAGTCCGACTGCTTGGCTTGCCTCATGCAGCTCGATGCTGACCTCTGGAACTAAGGTACGGTAACTCTCGAGAACGCCAGGACGCACATGGACGATTCACATTTCCGCCTCATACCCACATATATCCTTCACCCTAGTCTTTCTGTCTAGCTTGTGTCTGCTTCTGATCGTATTACCTTTTCTTAATGTTGTTGCCTTGTGAATTTTGGTTAAAATAATATAAATTTAGATATAAGAATGTAATCATGAAGGCATTTATGGAAATACATATGCTATTGATATAACGGCAATATTTTCCCAAAGTGGAGGAGACATAACAAGATGGCCAAGCCATTCTAAAATGGCCGACATGTTACAAGATGGCCGACTTATTACAAGATGGCGGACTTATTACAAGATGGCCGACTTGTTATAAAGTAATAGCCAACCAATGAGTTGGCATTTTTGTTTAAAAATGCCTTCGTGACGAATTTGTTTCCTACTTACTTTTAAGCTCATAGTGTTTATTGTAGATAACGGCTTATACACTCAAATCAAACGTCTACATTAGTTTTTAACATAACATGTTTCATAGTAATATAGACCAAAATATGCTTAAGTTATACCATTGTAGTAAACTTTTCAAACATAGTTGAGTTGCCTTCATATAAGTATAATAGGATATTACGTAATGCTGCGCTACTTACATAAATCAAGATGGCGCGGTAGGGCATGCGCGCAAACGCGCATGCGCGGCTGCCTTACGTGCTAAATTGATTTCAAAATGGCGTCATGAGAAAAGTGACATCTTGTTAACGTAGACATATTCTAAACCAATCCTAAATTATCTTAGCAATCTTCAAAACAAAATTATATTTTGTGTTAGATAAATAATTATCTTTAACCTTTGATTTATTTTTTCTATTTATTTTTCAACTGATACTTTCAATATTTATTATTATTATTATGACAAAGGTTTCTTGGCAAAACGGTGTAGTTTAACAAAACAAAAAGTGAGATTTCGCGCAGTCGCGCAGTCGCGCATGCGCGCAGGCGCGCAGTCGCGCATGCGCGGCTCTCCTTACTTGCTGAATCGATTTCAAAATGGCGTCATGAGCAGAAGTGACTTAGTAGAAAATGTTCAAGAACAATCCTAAATTATCTTAGCAATCTAGAAAACAAATTTATATTTTTTGTTTGATAAATAATTATTTTTAACCATTGATTTATTTATTCTATTTATTTTTCATCTGATATTTAAAACATTTACATCTAGTAACCATAGATTTACAACTAGAGATGACGTACTTATTTGATACAAATTAAAAAAAATGTAAAATTTTAACGGTACTCAAGTACAATTTATTAGGTATGTACAGGAAAAAAAAGGGTCTTTAAACAAAATTGAAACAAAAATAAATTGATCCTATAAGGGTTTCGTTTTTTCCTTTCGAAGTACAGAACCTTAAGAATACCACCACTGTAAACAAAATATTTCGGATGCAAGGGTAAAATTCTGACGAAAATCTGCGGAGATACACGAAAAACAATATTAAAAATGGTTTTGGCAAGGACATCATTTGGTACGTTCTTCGATGGGAGATGGAACAAATAGTTCAAGTCCGTCACTTGTTCCGCTATCAATGAATCGACTTAACAAGTAACCAGAGAGTTTATTGTTAATTTCTATTGTTACTTGTCATACAGATGCCGCGCCCCCATTGCCTCACTGGATTGTATGGATGATTTTAGTTCCAATTCACAGCAAATGCTAGATCAAGGCAAGTAATTATATTTATGTATTATACATATTTATATATTCTATTATTCGCACCAACGTGTTCGTTGGTGCGAATAATAGAATCCTGTAAAGTATTCGTGCTTGAACGTGTTCACTTCAAAGTGAATCAAACTACTGCCATAGAGTAGGCGGCTGCATGTCGCTGCTGCATAAAAGGCCAGCTCGCCTGTTGCACTACCGCACAGAAGATATGCCTCACTCAAGTGGCTATTAATGGACAGGAATGACGAATACCAAGCGGCCCTGGTATTACATTTAATTGAGTGCTGTTTTTTAAAGAACATTATGCGTCTATTGGATTCAAGGTGAAGGGATGGGAAGAAAACTATAGAATTTAGAGAATATGTTTTAATTTGTACAGTTTTAGAAATGTCAGAATCCAGAAAGATGACAACGTACATGGCGAGCCACAGCCTGGCTAACCTGCCCTCGGCGGTGACGGCCGGGCTGCGGTACAGGAACCTCGGCAAGTCAGGCCTCCGCGTCCCCAACATTGGCCTCGGATTGTGGAGCAACATCCACGAGGACACCACCGAGGACATCGTCACTGCCGCGCTAGAGAACGGCATCAACCTCTTTGATTTGTCGGAAGCGCATAACGGTAACAATGCGATATTTCACATCTCTGTTTATTTATTTATTTGCACAATTTGCCTTTTCCAGCCGTTGTAGCAAACAATTTCCTTACAACAAAATACTTATACGAACATATTATACAACAAAAAAAGCAAAAACAGAAAAATGTAGTTCCAGGGTTCACCCTTAGTATCGCGTCCGGACTTTATCGGATACCTTTGTTACGCAACATGCCTGTTTGCAGAATAGAATGTTGCATGTTAAGTGATGCTTTCTTTTTCACAAAAAATTTAACAAACATATTCTTTTTAGCGAAAGGCGAGGCCGAATTAGGAAGAATCCTCAAGAAAAACAACGTGAGGAGGACCAGTGTCATAATAATAACTAAAATATACTGGAGCACCAAGTGAGTAGTACCAAAGCTCCTCGTTCTGGTAATGTTGTAATGCTAAATATGACCGTTTTCACTTGAATCACTTTGCAGTTCGCTGCCTTGCAGCAGCTACTCATTACGGTCGACACAATCGTAGTTACATATATATTATACAATACGAGGCGAAATCTACAAATAACATTAAATGGATCGCTAATCAAAATTAACCGATTCAAAGTATTGTATTTTCTCAAACCGCCTTGAAGATCGTTACATATCCTAATTTACCCAAAAAATTGTACTAACTACTTCGGTATGGTGGTTATGTTTCAATTGAACTTTCTTTTAGTTCGGACGAGCGCGGCTTGTCGCGACGGCATATCATCGAGAGCGTTAAGGCGTCCCTCAGCCGCCTCCAAACAGAATACATCGATGTGGTTTTGTTGCACAAAGCGGACCCTGTCTGCCCAATGTCAGGTACTTACTTAATATTAGTATCTTCTGTTCCTACATGTTAAGCGAAAAATAAGCACATCATTATCATTTTATGTGTGATTCAATTTTGACAATATTTTATTGCGGCTTTATTTTTTCAGAGCTAGTGAGAGCCATGAATCACGTTATCAACCAAGGCTGGGTCATGTACTGGGGCACCGCACGCTGGTCTCCCTCCGAGGTAAACCATTATTACATTTAGGTAAAGGCGAGTAATAGATGATGATAAGATTTCACCGACTAGTTCCAGTCCTACTTTCTTATCTCAACATGTTCGACAACAGTATCTCGTACTTAAGCTGCACCTTTATATGTTTACAATTAATACATTCTTACATAGTACCTATGGGTACCGGTTACAATATTGTTGCGAGTAGCTAGATTTGTGCTTCGACTGCGCTGCGTAAATATATTTTTGAACATATTTATGTGTATAAGCGTATTTGTTTACTGCGATCGTGTCTTATCCGTTTCTGTGATATTTGCTGTCGCGAAAAGGAGACCATTGCGTGTAATGCAGTTGTGTGATAGTTCTGACGGGGACAATAGAACTGTCAATGTGTGTCCTGGCGCAGATAATGGAAGCGTACACCAACTGCAAGCACGCCAACTGCATCACGCCCATCGTAGAGCAGACCGAGTACAACATGTTCTGCAGAGACAAGCCGGAGCTGCACATGCCCGAGCTCTACCACAAGATCGGCGTCGGTGAGTGCTTTCCTCGTGGGGTCTAACTTGCAACCATATAGATTTTTAAACACTTTAAAATTAAATCCTTTTAATATTTACTAAAATAATACTAGGCAAGTTATCTACAATGACAGGCTTGATGGTTTGGTCTGCCATCACGACGGGCAGCCGGGTCGGGCGCGACGACTGCGCCGGCCTCTTCGCCAAGTCCAGGTTCAACCGCAAGTCTAGCACCTTCAGTTGGTGCGAAGAGAATCTAGCTCTCACAGAAGTACGTATGCTTGTCATTCCTACTATATCTTATCAGGTTTGAAAATAATTCGTATAGCTGAATAATATTTAATACTAGCGTAATTTTGTCCACGAATAATTTATTATAATATATCTTTTAATAAATGTAGCCTCTAATACGCAGTGATAATGTACATAGCTTGTAGCTTCACGGCACAAGAATTATTTAAATCGGCCCATTAATTTTTGACGTTAATTGTTACAAACAAAATTAAAAATTTTCTCTTGATTGCGTCGACGATCAAATTCCGACAAAATTTATGTTATATTGAATTATATTAAAAATATATGGTACACACGACAGCATACAGCAATGGGCAGTGCGGAAGGCAGGGAGCCAGCGGGCGAGGCCCCGCGCACCTACGGCGAGAAGTTGCGCGCCCTACACGACCTCGCCGACACTTTGAGTGCGTGCTTGCATACTCCTGTTTATACAAAACTAGCTGTCGCCTGAGACTCCGTCCGCGCGGAACTAAAAAAAACTCAAATAGTAACCTATGGGTTCTTCAAGGCTATGTTCTACATCTATGCCAAATTTCATCGACATCCATGCAGTCTTTCTGGAGATACGTTCAAACAAACATCCATCCATCCATCCATCCATCCAAACATTCACATTTATAACATTAGTAACATACAGCATAGCATATCGCCTTAGTCAATTCTGACTTAACACTACTGATAGGGATCATCATCATCATGCATGCTAGCCTGAACGTTTGCGTGGATGTTCTAAGATTGTTTGTATGTAGAAAACGAGATCACTATGACAGGTTCTTGCCATTTGGGTATCAATATTCTTTTTCTAACTCATTTGTTGACGGCATGACGTGCGTACTTATTATTTTGCCAATTGACTTGCTAAAGGCGAGCATTTCGTCGTCAGACTGCACGATGAGCCAGCTGGCGGTGGCGTGGTGCCTCAAGAACGAGGCGGTCAACTGCGTGCTGCTTGGCGCCACCAGCGTCGAACATTTCAAACACCACGTTCACGCTCTTCAGGTAAGTAATCTACTAATATAACCTAAACAAAATGTTGTGTTTTATAGCTCCTGCTGTGGGTACAGAGTATGTTCATGTTGGTGCAGATAGTGCCGCAGCTGACGCCGGCGGTGATGACGCAGGTGGAGCGGCTGCTGGCCAACAAACCGCAGCGGCCTCCCATGCTCTCCACGCTCGCCATGCGCAGTCAGCAGGCCGGCAACACCGTCAGGATTGACATACCGTCAGTTAATTGCCACCTCCACTCTCCCACACTATTCTGAACCACTATTACGTTTTGCAATTATCCTACTTGACTAGCGACCCGCCCGAAGAATATGCGTGATTTCTTCATACGTTCTCTTTCCGATCAAAATACATAAATGTTGCGGAATAAATAACCTTCATGACGGTGTTAACCATATTTTACTTACTACGCTGGCGTATCGACCCAAAGTGGGTCTTGGCCTCCGACACAAGAGATCGCCAAAGTCGCGTGTCTTGCGCCTTCTCCTCCCAGTCCTTACCATATTTTAATCTATTATATCACCAATAACATAATTATTTTAGAATTTTATTAAGAAAGGTGAAACAGCAAAAAAGCAAGCGAAAACATGGTGATACCATGTGGCCAATTACCAAAGACGTCTTCGTACGGTAATAAGCTACAACTGCAGATGCGCCGCCTCGTTTTAATGGGAAATAAACATGAGAAAGTGCACAGACAGATCAAAGATTGCTTTTCTTAGATATCGATACCCCCTGTCAATAATTTCAATAGACGGACAGGAATTAACTCAACACACAAACATGGACACACTCAGTCACTAGTGTCTGTGAATTCGCAGTATTCGCGGTTCTTGGCCTAGCTGACACATTTAACAGCTTCGGCGTTACAACTGACAGGGGCGGCGCGACCTCGACCGCTGGCTCGCCAAAGCCGGAGGGCGATGCTGCAGTGGATGGCGAGGCCTCCACCCCCGCCAAAGAATCCGGCCGCTCCTTCTGCGACATTCAGTGACCGTGGTGGCGCGGAAGCACCGAATCTGCTTCCAAATCTACTAAATCTAAGGTCATCGACGAATATTTTGTTACTGATTGATTACTAGCAAATAGTTAATTTGTATAAAATTGCATGTTTACAGTTACCTACTAAATCAGTTTTAAAAGTCAATTTTTTCACAGGAATCCCTCAAGGATGCAAAACCTAAATTCTTTTTGAACAACGCGGGAGAAGTCATCAAAAGGACAGGTAAATTTCAGCTTTTACCTACGTGATTCCCATATCTACGTAGCCAATCAAACTAAAAATCATCGATGTCCGGTGCAGTTATAAATAAATCGTTCGCGTCCTTTATCAGAGCAAGACGGAATCTCAAGAGACGTGGTGGTGTCGGTGTCGTCTCTGAAAGGCAAGCAGCCAGCCTCGGGCGGTGACAAGGCGAAGAAGACCAAGTCGTCGGAGCCATCGCGGGCGCGCTCCGCCTCCCTGCAGCGCTCGCCCTCGGGTCCACTGTGCGCGGCGCGCGACCGCCGACGCTCGCGGCTCGACCTCGGCTCCCCCGCCGCCACCACCGACATCTAACACCACCACGCCCCACCTCTTCTCTGCTCTACTCTACTCCTCCCACATTATTATTTATACGACCAGACATTCATGCGCACGTCCAATAAACATTTACGAATCTCCACCGCGGCTGCTTCTCATGTAGCGTCTTCAGCGCCCGCGTGTGCAACACTTCTCACCATACAAACACCTCGGGGTTGTTGCATCTCCCTCGGCCACTAAACCTTAAACACACGGCCAAATTGAATATAATGTGTTGCACACTCGGATCCTTTAATGTTTCACGTAGAAGTAGGTTGTAGGAGAAGAAAACAATCACAATTGCTAAAGTCAGTCGTTGTAAGATCTAAATTAAATATGTAAAGCATAATTAAGTTGAGAGAGGACAGCGACAGAGAGCAGTCTCACTATCACATGTCTGGACGTATATCTAATGATCATATGTAAGTATTAGATGTTTAATTGTACCTAACTGTATAGATAGAGTAACGAATGCTGACTTGACTGGCCACAGAATGCCGGAACAGAGTAAATAACTAACTTAACAACTAACCTGTATCCACACTTTGATACTTGGCTTCCATTCATACTGATAATAGTGAAACAAGCTAATCCTTTACTCATTTCAAATTGATCAATCTATAATCCAAATATATTCTTATGTTACCGTTGACAAAAAAATAAAATTTTTAAATCACAAGAAGAAAGAGAAACAGCATATCTAGGTGCGTACATTTAGGTATGGTCAGAGCAACGCTTGCTAATGGATCTGTCCTCGTTGTCGCCGCCGTAAGCTGACAATTACATGGCAAAACGATAACACATTCTTACCACTACACATTCGGATGTTTAGAAACCAAATCTTACATAACATTATATATATAAAAGAACGTTATAATAGCGAATATAAATTTAAATAGGAGTGAGAGACGACGGCGGCGACGCGGCAGACACATCAACAAGGTCATACACAACACAGGTCATAGTGGTTACACAGCCTTGTATTTACATCCTCCAGTGGTAGAAGGAATAAAATGTCGTTTAAGATCCGCGACTTAGTCGATGCATGGCAGACCTTGTAAAGGCGACTCAAATTAGATAGGATTTTAGATTCATGGACGGAAGTATGCGGAACCGTCGCGTCGGTAGCTCGAAGCAAAACTAATTATAAATAATATTATAATAAACAAAATTTGCATAATTTGAACGTTCCTCTAACAACAACTATAACAATTTATAAAATATAACAAAGTTAAATCAGAGCAGAGCAGATACCTGAAGCACAAGCTGACAAACAAACAAACAAACAATATATATATATATATATATATATATTATAACTAAAACAAATGCACTCACAAGATTTCCTTTTACTTCAGAAAGTTAATTTTTAATTTACTTATTCAAAATAATCCTAAGTGATGTTAGTTAGAGGTATGTTAGCAATAAAATAAATAGGTGTCATTGCTATTACCTACCGGCCTTAGGTTATCTGGTAGCTATCCTTAACTTCGGCAATTTATTATTTATTATTGAAACGTATAATATAATTTTAATTCGTCCTCTGCGTGAAATGTTCTATCAAGTATTAATTAGTTATTTATTTAATTTAACATCGTTTTAAGATCACTTTGTATCTGATAGTTGTAAGTCGTTTATTATCTGGTTATTCAGACTTATTTAGACGTTTAGTATAACAACATTTCAATGAGAAAGCATGCATTAGGTTATGTTAGCCTGGTAGGCCTAGGACCCTGTGTACATAATCCGCGTGCTAATTTTAATTGCAAAAGGATAATTAGTTCGCCACACAGAGTAATGGTGGGCTGTGGCTGCTGACGGTGCCTATTGCCTCTGGTGCCTTAGTGCCTTTCTTGTAACCCCATCTGCACCATGCCTCTTCTCAAATAATGCAATTCTATGATTCGCTCTTATTTTATAATAAATACTTATAATTCACTTAATACATTACGCACGGTAAGGTTTTAGCGGCTCCGGATAGAATACACACGGACAGCTCTCGAACCCACGCTCCTCAAAACTATATATTCTTGTCACCATCACCACCACCGTCACGATCACGATTCCATGAACCGCTTCAGCCTAGCGCCTAGCGAATGTTTAAACTTATCAAAATTTATATAAATACGGACAGTTCCTTTTACTTAATTTCTTATTAGTTTTCATCAGCACATAGAATATTATACAGTGCAGTGCTTACTCCTAGCAAATATTTCTTTAAATATTTGCTAGGAGTTCGTTGCTCGTTCATTTTCTAATTCGGTAATTTGGTAATTTTTTTAAATGTTTCATGTTTGCAATAGTCGTGGTTTGTATTCTCTATAACATACGAGTATCAATATGAATACAATGTGTCTGCAACATTGTAAGGTTATGTGGTGTATTTGGTGGTTTATTTTATATTTATATAATCGCTAAATAATCTCGAATAGCAATAATAAGTAATCTATTCATTAAGCGCAGTCGCTGCTTTCGGAGGGCAGTGCGCAACGCGGCGCACTCAGCGCTCTCGGCGCACTTGACGCACAACGGTCCACAGCAATTCATGTGACGAATAGTAACACAATTATCCAACAAGTTGCGTGCGCTATGAGGGCGGCGAGGCGGGCAGTGGGGAAGCTGGACGGGCAGATGGCCGGGCGGGCATTAACCACCAATAACATTCTGCCGAGGTGAACATCACCTTCACCTCGCGTCGCTCTTTCCTTGTCATTTTCTAACCGTCGCTAAGAAGCCTAGAGAGTAGCAGGAACTGTGCATTAATGAATACTTGTTTTAGTTAGGTTATGAAATCTTGTTTAAGGTTTAAAGTGCCCTTAGACGTACCTTCAAAAAAATAGCTAGTTTAGGATAAGTAGGGTGGGGCGAGTCGGACGGAGCCGACCGCTCTCTGCCTGGACTGCTAAAACGTCACACATAGCCGCGGCGCAATAGTTCATTTCCTTGCATTATTCATATTTATTTATTTTCTGCATATTCTGTTAACGCGAGTCAGTTCACAAGTAATTATATCGTCGATCATCATCATCATCATCATCATTACAATATTACTTTACACTTTTCATTGCATAATTGATTTCTAATCGACTTATTATTTGCCTCATTTACTTTAAGTTCGCTCAATTTAATTACATATTTAAGTGTTCATTTTAATGCTAGTTAATTCTTTTACTTCAAGTTTTTTAATTTTTTTCCGTCTTTTTTGAAGTATTTTTGTTTAGAATAATAAAGTTGTATAATGGAAATGGCGTTGCAGTTTGCCTGTAGGTTTAGAAGATGCGTGTGTACTGTGGAGTGCTATCACTTAGTTAAATATAGATAGGATAGGTTAGTGTCGCGGAGTATCGAGGCAAGCGACACGGCTCGTGACGCAAGGCGCGTTGTGTCGCGGCATCGCGTATTTATTTGACTGCACCATGGATTTGCAATACCCGAATAATTTTATGATCGTGTTATGTCTTTTAAAGTTTATAAAATCTTATTTCTTTATTGAAAATAGATTATACTTATAAGCGAAGTGTTAATTTGAAAAAGTTTAGTTTAGCTGTAATAAAATAAAAAAAATTAAAAAAAACTATATAAAGAAAATACAAAAAAAAAATAAAAAAATAAAGTGAAATAAAAAAATAAAAAATTAGAAAATAAAAAAAAAATAAAAAATTAGAAAATAAAAAAAAATAAAAAATTAGAAAATCGAAAAAAAAATTAAAAAACGAAAATCGAAAAAAAAAAATAAAAATACGAAAACCGAAAAAAAAATAAAAAAAACGAAAATCGAAAAAAAGTTCAAAAACAAGAAAACCGAAAAAAAATTACAAATGGAAAATCTAAAAACAATGTTAAAATAATTGACAAAAAACACAACAAAAAAAATACAAACGTGTGAAATCCAAAAAAAAATATTAAAAGCAAAAAAAAGCAAAAAAAAAATAAAAAATCACAAAAAGTTTAGGATTAAAATAGTGTTAGTGTTTATGGTTCTAGTCGGATAGAGAAATGTATTTAATCAGCGTGGAGGGGGTTGCGGCACTCTCTACCCGCAGCACGCGGCACGCGCTCCGCGCCCCGCGCTGCACCGCTCTACTTGATAGATTACATCTTTACGAGTACTTATAACAAAATCCTAGATAATTAAATGGATAAATAATTGTTACTTCGTGAAACAACGAATGAAATATTGAAAGCAATATGTACAACTTCCATTCGAGACAACGATAGGTCGGAAAGTCGCACGAAACACGCGAAACAAGCACTGACAGCCAAGCATCGGTAACATAGTAAGTACTTTTCTCTCACCCAACCCTACTCTCGGCGCGCGCTGATTGACTTTTGAAGAGATTTTTAATTTTAAATTTTATTTTAAGAGCCGACACTGGCGGTCCAGTTGTACAGAGTTGACCCTGACAGTCACGTGCGGACAGATCGGATCCTGGCAGTCCCGCGTGAGCGTAGCTGACCCACCGAGTCGACAGTTTAATCGGCAGTCTACGCAGCTAGTTTCGGTTCCAAATTTATCAAAAGTTGTTGCTCGTTGCCATTTGATACGTAGTGTTAGTTAAAATACACGACGTTTAAATTTCACGCAAGAATTATGTCTTCCAAAGTTACTATATTTAACTATATTTAGGCGAAACTTTATTTTGTCATCGAAATTATTCAAAATATATTTTTAAACAAAATTGTTAGGTGATGGTTATTTTCGGTATGTGAGCACTTGAGACCATGGTCTGAGTTGTGTCGACCCTGTCACCTCGTTCACATTCGCCTCCTCAAATTCTGTAGAAGAACAAACATGCTCATGAATAGTCCGCATTGCACTTATGTGTACGCCTTTAACATCAACTCCACCTTGTTGCCCGCCAGGGACACCGATCATTCATTGCTGCATCTTTATTTGTTCGTAATACACACAAATCGCAAAGGATTTACCCACAAGTAATCGGTGTCAGTTCCGGAAGCAACAAGCGCGTAACCTGCAGTGCTTCGTGCATTTATAGTACATGCGAACTATTCCATCTGACCATCTGCATTTTACATTTACAAATTTGTTCGAGATAGCGGCGTCAAGTCGTCGCTTGGGCGTGGTGCTGTGTAGTGCAGGCGGAGGGCCGGGCGCGACTACCCTGTTGACACCGGCTTCGTCGACAGCTCCTCGGCCAAATCTGAGCCCGCTTCGTGCGGAGCATCATTTCATTTCAATTCTTGACAAAAGTCAATTACGGTCTGTGGAGGATGCTGGTGGACGCAACAGGCGCACCTTTGGCGCGTCGTCGGCGCCCTTGCGTCACGGCCTCTCTCACCCTTCCAACATATATATTCGTCTCTACGCCCTAAAACCCTGACCCCACTTCCGACCTGGTTTCAAGGATCGCTCGTAGAACTTACCCATCCATTCTCTCTCTTTTTTTTTGTTTCCATAAAATCAGGATACGATGATGGCCAACGCCGAGCCTTGCACTCTGTAATCGTCATATGAAAAATCTTTTTAAAAGTCTTAAAGTCAAACTTCGTTACCGCTAAAAAAACTTTATTAACCTTTAAAGGATAAAGGTGCTACCGCAATTTGAAATTTAATTCACTTGTATTTTTTAAATGATAATTATATATATATATATATACATTTTAAATTGTTGTGTTTTATAAATGAATACCTACGTCAAGGCGATCCGATGCCTCTTCCGCGCAAGCGGACAGCGGCGCGACGCGGCGCTAGTCACTGTTTTTATTTGTCGTTAGTTAGTTTGTTGTCGTTTTTATAATACGTTACACCGACTCGGTGGTTTGTACGCGTGCAGTGCAGTGCAGTGCAGTGCAGTGCAGTGCAGTGCAG